GCCGACATTTTGCGCGCGCAAATGGCTGGCGTGAAAGTCGAAGCTATTTCCTCACGCGCAAACTTTATCGCATTTCATAAACTGTGCAAGCAACTACATTAAGCGGAAAATTTACTCGACTGTAGCATATATTCTACGGTACTGAGGCTTTTTTCCTCAAAACTCCGATAATGAATGTGAAAAGCTTTTGGAATGAGTAGTCGTTTACAATTCATCCATGATGGCCAGCATACCGGGGTGAGTTTCAAAGACATCATTATGCCTGCGAGGTAAGTATATAGATAGTAAGACCAGTGCGGCATCTGCGAAGAGGTGACACACTGGTGAGCAATAAGCAAAGAATGAGAAAACCATGTAAAAGGCGACCACCCTTGTTGAAGTGTGTCAGCCACTTGTCTAAGTAAGCGAATATAAACAACTTCATTGTTCATCGGAAATACTGACAACCTGAACACTGAATATAGCTTTGGGAAACTGACGTGCTTCGACCAATACGTCATCGCATATTCCCGGAGGGGGAGAAAATACGAGCACTGAGAGAATGTTTAATCTTTTTCGGTCTTGCTTTCACTGTCATTAGCCAAGAATCGCCAGTAAAAAGAAGTTTAGCTGTACTTTCTACAATAACATTCTTAGCAAAAAATTGCTTAACAAGTTGTTTGTTCGTCAAATGCTTGACTCTTGTTTCACTTTCATGTTCCTATACATTTTCGTTCAAAGTGAATGAAACTAACTTCAATGAATGTAGCAAAGAGAATCCGGTAAACATGCCCAGCTTCATTCGGCGCGGGATGACGCTGGAATCCTGGAACCTAACTGATCCTGAAACTAATTCCTAACGTTGATTTTGGAAAAAATTTATTATTTGGAGCATGAAACTAGTAAACGGCAGGACACAGAAGCATCCTGTTCAAAAATAGTCCTCCTGAGGCTCTCGCCAGAGTGCCGAAGCCACATCAGCGCTGCGTCGGTGCCGAGTCGAGCTGGCCCGGCGTTGTGATCGATACACGTGCATTTCGTTTTGGGCGGAGCTAGCTGACCCCATAGCGGCAAGGGCTCCGGAGCTTTTAAAAGAGATTCGATCAATAGTCGGTGCATTTACCTGGCCGAGAACCAGGTCACCTAGCCCCGCCGCGAACGAAATGCACGTGTATCCGTCGAAACAGCCCGGCTCCGGCGCAGCGCTAGCGTGGCTTCGGCACTCTGGCGGAAGTCTAAACCAGGGCTCAGCAGAGGTGGCGCTTTCACAGCTGGATATCGTTTTTTGAGGGGAAAGCAAGAGGAAAATCGTAATGTTTTCAGGGGTTTCCCTTGTCCGACGAAATACTGGCCAGCACAATCCTTACCCTAATTCTAATTTTAGGTTCTAACGTCTTTACCAGTAACAGGTAGATTAACAGGTTACAAACACAATTGCAAGAACTTTTTTTGCGCACGAGGCCAACTTGTTAAGACATGGGCCCGCAGTAAAGCCCACTTTACTACAGATGATCTTAACTGAGGGGCTGAGTTAAGGTATTTAAGACAAACTGACCAGCGGCCACTCCCACATGCTTAAGAATGCGACCTGATCTGACAGGTGAGCGTCAGGCCAGGTGCCGCGATAAATTCACCTGAAATCCGTAAGAGCAACGTCGATTTTGAGATGAATTGACCGAAATAGTGTGCAAGGAATGAGACGCAAAGAAAAATCCCGTAAGTTGGTCGTGAGTAACTTACAGCACATCTTATCTGGCGCATTGTTGCGTACAAGAACGCGCAAAACTGCACAATACCAGTGCCCAAAAAGGAAAGGATCAATGAACAGCTGATTTCGGCAAGAAAACAAGAGAATAGGTTTCTTCCTTTTTGCAGAGTTTGTTAGGTTATTTCTACAAAAGCTACTTAGAGCGAAAATCTCTTTACTTATTTCCATTCGATTTTGTCCCTACTTCCTCAATTGTTGATGAAATCTTTGTTGAAAAACGCAGTTTTGTTTTTTGCATTTTTCTGGTATGTGGATTCCTTGATAACGGCCGTCATCGATTTTCTTCGATAGTGGCCGCTATCAAAGATTGTTCAGTGATGCACAAAAATTTGCCTATGGCAGGCGCCGAACCACTCGTGCGGGCTGAATATCAGTCACATACCCGTTTGACCAAACCCGCACAAGCGATGTAGGTGTTTCTTCTTTGATAACGCGCAAGATTTTTATACCTGAAAAGCGATCCGCATTTAGATCAATGGCTCGCCGGATGCTGGGCTGAGGCGCCCCACGAACAACTCAGGCCCGTTTCAGGGCAGATCCTCTGAAGAGAGGTTCACTACGGGCCATGATCTTTTTGCACAAATAAAAACTCAGTATCTTTATCAAGACTATTCAGTACTGAGCCATCAGATTTGGTATACAGCTTTGCGACGATGATGGAAACAAAAGTATGAAAAATTATGAAAAAAATTATGTGAAAAAGGGGTTGTAAGTGATTTCTAATTTAGGTTGCTCCCGCGCAACCTGGGAGCATCCTAAGGATGCGCGGGACCAAATAAAGTCATGATTTATGACTTCCTCGCACAGAATTTTAATATTTTCACAAGAGTCACTTCTTTAGTTCATGTTCTCCTGGATGCGCTCGTCTTGACCTCAGTTTCATCCCCTCTGCTTTGCTATGACCTACTATATGAAAACCTTCTTTTTCTCGCCTTCTCATTTTATATTTGACTTTCTTGTTTTTTTTTCTCCATTTTTATCAACTCACAGTTCGCTGCACATTATAAACCCTATTTCTATGGAAAACACAAGGCGTTATTCGTAAATTGCAGCAAACTTAAGGGGGACTTCGTTTTCACGATGTTCAAATGCAACCTCTTGCCGGGCCTTGACCTAAACCACCTGTGCTCATCTACATTCTCGGACGAAATTTCCTCATAATGCGAATTTCGATTCAAAAACGAATATTTTGTCGCACACGACGTCTTCGTCAATTTGAAGCGCATCAAAAAAAAACATCTAATCACTTATAGGAGAGAAAGAAGCATTCCTGCATGCACCATTGCAAGCACTGAAAGAAATTGTAGGAACATTTACAGGGTGAGCATGTAAGTGTTTGTCTTAATATGTGAAATTTCATCCATCAAGGAAAGGGGATCCGAAAGTCAGGAGCAGTGCTTCCGAGGTACAAAATACACAGAATGAAAGGGAGAAGGAAGAGGTAAGCGATCATTTCTTTGCAGATAGAGCAATGCACAAGCGAAGTTATAATTTGTCCGCCATTTATTCAAATACGCAAGATAAATTATTCGTGAGCAAAAGGCCACATTTGTTGTCTATCAGCTAATTCGGTTATACGTATTATATCGAGCGATCGTGCTGTTTTCATACGCACGCTAAAATTCAATGAAAAGACAAACGCTATAGACGTTGTTCAGTGTAGAATTCCTTCTCTTTCTGACAGTGATCTTTTTATTCTAACAAGGGAAGTTTGTTTGGTCGAAGTGGCCTTTATAAATGAGAAGTACGCCATATTGAAGGGCATAATACGCTTACTCCAGATCTGCCTTCCTTATCTGCAGGACGTTGGTCGACAAGGAGTTATTAGCGTTTTTGGAGCCAAAAATTGAATGTGCATTTTGGATAATATGTGTTGCTAAATTCCTACTAACCTTCAAATAGTGTGATATATTCTTTTACATATAAATATTTTTGAAACGAAGTGCTCTAATGACTACCCCTGCTCCATTGAAGAGCTAGAAAAAGTATTACGGCTTTTTTGTCCTACTTGCACATTCAATTTTTTGCTCCAATGAGCGCTCATAACTCCTCGTCCTAAACGTTTTGAGGATTCGGAAGGCAGATTCAGAAACAGCGCTTTAATATGTATGCAACCCATTCAAGAAGGCCACTTCGAGTAAACAGGCTTTCCTTGTATGTCCCTTGATGATCGTTCGACTAATCATCAGAACCTCAATCCCACCGTTTTCCCTTTTTGAAAGAGCTTCAAATGGATGTTGCATAGATCAACAAAATGGACTAAAATGCAATTTCTGGCATAACTTCAGGAGGTGGATCAAATGAACAAAGTGCAGTACAACGCATTCCTTGATATCTGTAGCTGGCTTTCCGAGATTCTTAAAGTTTTCTCGATGCTAACAAATTCCATACTTGGACATCCCAATCCTCAAAGAACGAAACGGCAAGCAATCAAAATGCATTCGATGCAGCTTCTCGTCCTCTTTCTGAAAGGCTTCTTTTCTTCCTTGTATAGACTGCGAGGATAAAATCAACACAATTTTGTTTTCAAACGCGTTTTAGGCTGTACCCGGATACCGGAATATGGTACGAACCACTAAATACTCGACTGCTTAGGAAAATTAGTATTCCACAGTCTATTGAAGCTTCAAATTCCGAGAATTTGTTACTGTTTTGAGCATTTGGGTAATTCACGACTTCATAAAAGCGAAAATTTTGTAAGAACTATTTTGAAAACTACGAGAACAACTGAGTTGTGCTTTGTTTACTGTGTAACTGTAACCAAATTTTACAAAAATCTGAAATAAAAATGTTAAACATACCTTCGATTCGTTGCGCACAAAGACTGCGGACTTATCGGCGCCTCTGCGATCAAGCGCTCTTTCGTTCCTCTTACCACCTGCTGTCTCTCCCACGCACCAGCTATTTTGGTCGTACGCAATGGCGCCCAGTCTTTATGCGTTTTGAATCGACGATATCTAAAATTAGGGTGAATAAAAATCATGGGTTGGAGATTCTGACTATTATTTGAACTACATCGAAGGGACTTAGAAACAGGAACATCACTGCTAGAAAGAGAAAGAGATTTTGCATCGAACACTGAAGCGTTTATCTATCGTTATTCTGAGAATTGAGCACGGGCCTGAAAAAGGACACGAACTTTTAAACTAACCGTACTAATAAAAGGCTAAAAAACAGATTCTGCATACTTTTTTTACACAATTCGTACACGCACGAGTGTTCATGGGTGCCAAAAAAGTATGGGCCATGAGCCAAACCCTATTCACATAACGAGGAACTCTGGTGAAAAACAGATGCTTTAAAAGACAGTGTTTCTTTGCGATTTGTTAGTTTCAAACATCGAAAGATGTAGAAAAAGGAATGTCGATGCAAGCGCATTAACAGCGAACCCATGAGTTAAGCCTATCAAAGCCCATGAGATTTTTTTGGTTACTGGTTGAGTGTTTTGTGAGTTCGACAATCCGCAAGTAGGCGAAACTCACTGCTTACGATTTTTCCAGAGATTCTCTCTAATCACATCGATTCAATGACTTTGATTTTTGCGCAGATAGACTGAAATTAGATGCGGAAGATAGTGCTCACCGCTCTATGTGGTGAACGTTATGCCAAAATTACAGAGTGCAAAGCGCACTGACCTTGTAAAATGAGAATAGGTTGAAAGGCTTTCCTCGAAGATTCACAGGCTTTCCTCGAAGATTCACAAGATCGTAACTGTGGGGCATACACCCTCTAGTTTTGGGGAAAAATTGGCAGGTGAAGAGGCTACCCATAAAGTCTGGCTGGACTGGCTTTTGCTTACTGCTTTGCGTTGCCATTTGCATTTGATGACGGGCCAGGATGCGCAGCGATGCGCCTGGATTGGCCGAGCTTGAGGCAAACGAGGCTTATACAATTATAGCGCATACCCGGCTCCGCCCGGGGCTGCCTAAACGCTATGATAAAGGCTACATCCCTATACAACTCTTCCCTGTGCCCATTTCCACATGTCAGTTCTCTATCCGTGTTTTGTTTTCGAACAGGGCGCTTACTCCCCCCCCCAAGTGCCAACTCCCAGCCTTGTAGCTCAAACTTTGCGGAAAATCGATGAAATTGATGAAGCTGATGTTGTTTTCGTAATCAGCATGCTCACTTATCCGTCTGTACCAACTCGCAGCCCGTAAGTCAGACTTAGTAAAAATCGATAAAATCGATAAAATCGATAAAAGTAATGGATAATTCCAAGACTAACATTGTATTCGTAGTCTCCACCCTCATATACCCCCTGTGCTACTCCCAGTCCCGCAGCTTCAGTTGTGCAATAATCGATAGAATCGATATAAATCGGTAAAGAAAAGTAGCCTGCGGCACACACCCCGTCCCGAAGTGTATGTGTGCAAAGCTTGGACCGGATGGGTTTAAAAATTGAAATTCGTGAGAAACATATGTACATACAAACAGACCACAGACATAGAAACAGACATTCAGCTTTGTTATAAGATTGTTCTCATGTATGATGTGCCGAATTTTTACATCTCCAATTTAATAGTTACATGAATAATGAGAGTGTACAAATGTCTTGTTTTTTCTCGTTTCTAAACAACTGGAATTTCTCAAAAGTACTCGTTAGAAATTTTTCCCTGGTGGGTCCTCTTTGGAGTGCGTAGCTAACGCCACGCACCCTCATTTGATGAATTTTTGTTGCCTACTCCCCCCCCCCCCCGACGGAAAATCTAGGATCGCCACCTGATGTATGCATATATGCAAGTGTATTTGCCAGTAGTCTAGAATATTAATTAACCCATACTGCTGAATGTTGCCCACCTTCCCAAAGGATTGGTAAAGACTGGCATTGTGCGTTAGCGGAAAATTATGAGCAGAATATTCTATTAGGATGATTTGAATATTTGCAGTGGAATGATAAAGCACGTGTCTGTAAACTTTTGAAAATCTTGATTCGAGATTCTTGCAGATCGTCTTTGTAAGCGAAACGGAGCTATGCAGATTTTGCAAACAAACTTAACATTGCTATTGTGCATAAATAATAAATCATTGTTCCTTCTTTCAGCCATGATTCAATATTGACTTAAATACTTAGATGGCTCGTCTTCACGTGACGTGCGGGCCCCAACTCAGAAGTTTCCAGTATTCCCTGTTCTCTTTGTGTCGTCCAACCTTTCGTGATGAAACTCTCTCACCACGAATGATGAGGGTCACATCACTCATCTATCGCACATCCTTCTTCATGAACTTCCTTTCCTGCAGAGACGATGACGTGGTACATGAAATGCTCTGCAGCGCCGAGAAAAGCGTGGAGTTCGGCGTTTGTGGAGAGCGTCCTGGCGTTATAGATTCAAGGCATGAGGCGGTCTTCATGACTGTCGTCCTTGCAGACGGGTCATTTTTGTTCGATCCGAAAGGCGCTCTGAGGGCCCTGAGATCGCTCTTGCTACCATCGGTGTTCAATGGCGGACCGAAGGAGGGGGGCAGGGGGAGGGGTCCTCGGTCCACCACTGAACACCGGTGAATCCCCGGTGGTCTCCGAGAATGGGTCGCGAAATTTTTGAAAATCACTTATCTTATATATAAAGCTGAATGTCTGTATGTATGTCTGTATGTAGTATGTATGTCTGTCTGTATGTATGTACGTATGTTCCGAATAGAATTCCATTTCTGAACCGATCCGGGCCAAGCTTGGCACACGTACACTTCGGGGCCGGGCGGGTGTAATAGGCTACTTTTCGTCATCGATCGATATCGATTTTATCGATTTTATCGATTTTTTGTAAAGTGACCTGCGGGGCTGGGAGTTTGCACAGGGGGGTAATTGAGCATGGAGATTACGAATACAATATTAGTTTTTGAAATTTTCCATTATTTTTATCGATTTTATCGATTTTATCGATTTTTTGTAAAGTTTGAGCTACGGGGCTCGGATTTGGACAGGGGGGTAATCGAGCATGCTGATTACGAGTTCGATATTAGTTTGACGCTATTCGGCTATCCGGGCCCCAAGATTTTTTTTGGTAGAGCTTTCTCAAACTTCGTGTATAAGGGTTATCTCAAGGGCCGGGTATACTTCAAGCGATTTCAATCGCGACGCGATTTGGCAATATCCCAGGTGTCCATAACTCATTGTAAGTACTTTATAAATGTACAGAAAATAGGGCATCTCATCAGTTTATGTAAGTTATACACACTATGCATGTGTAATTTGCTAATGTTGGATCCGAAGACTTCTGGCGAACTGCCAAATCGCGTCGCGACTGAAATCGCGTGAAGTATGCTCGGCCCTTTACATGCTGATTACAGACATCACACTTTCCCCGCAGAACGTCTTCCCGTGTGGTTACGATAGGTGTACGGTAGGAAGCCAGAATCATGAATTCGGCTGGAGTTCGGTCCATATGGCTTATTCGACATGCTAATTACGAATATCATCTCTCTCTGCATATTGGAACCTTTTCGTAGGGTTGTGGTGGTTATATGGCATGGGGTCGAAAACACAGATTTGCTTTAAACTTCGTCTAGGATGGTCGCGCGCTGAACATTAATATTTAGCGCGCTGAACAAATATCATGCTGATTTCGCAGGATAGTGCATTTTTTGGGTTACGGTGGGTGTAGATTTGTCGAAGTTCCAGATTTGCTCAAAACCTTACCAGCAACGGTTCACAAGTATATTGCTTATAAATATGATGCTTGCTCGCTGTCGTAACGCAATAGTGAAGTTATGGTGAGTTGCAGGGTTTCAAGTTCACAAGTATATTGCTTATAAATATGATGCTTGCTCGCTGTCGTAACGCAATAGTGAAGTTATGGTGAGTTGCAGGGTTTTAATGGACATTTTTTCGCTTTCGGGCCAATTTAGATCCCAGATATTCAAGAGGTGGGGAAGCGGTCGTTTTGCATGGCAGTCTCCAGCGCCATCCTGATAACCTGTCCCATTGCGTAACGCACGCGGCAAATCTCCATTCCCCTGTTTTTGCTTCGGCAAAAGCCGCCGAAGGGTGCGTCGCGCGCGGCAGTGGTCCTATAAGGAAACTGATAACCTGTCCCAACGCGTAACACACGCGGCAAATCTCCCTCCCCTGTTCTTGCTTAGGCAAAAGCCGGGTGTATTGCGCACGGCAATGGTCCTATAAGGAAACTAATAACCTGTCCCAATGCGTAACTCACGCGGCAAATCTCCTTTCCCCTGTTCTTGCTTAGGCAAAAGCCGCCGAAGGGTATCTCGCGCGCGTTAGTGGTCCTATAAGGAAACTGATAACCTGTCCCAATGCGTAACGCACGCGGCAAATCTCCCTTCCCTATTCTTGCTTAGGCAAAAGCCGCCAAAGGGTGTATCGCGCGCGGCAGTGGTTCTATAAGGGAAAGCATGCATTACGGTCGTGGGAAACTTTTATACCACACGAGAGCACGATATTTTTGAAACAGCACTTTAAATAATTTTCTGCCAAGGTTTCAGGCAGGTTCATGATTTTTACCCGCTGCCATTTACCTACCGTTACTCTGCGAAAAAGTCTCAAAACGCAACGAGATTGTTTTAAACGTGGTCAGAAGGTCGAATCTCTCTAGACCGAGTTTCAGCCAAAACTGAGATTTTGCCCCTCTGCAATATACCTACCATAACTCAGTGAAGTCGCCTCAAATTGTCGAAGGAGTATGATATTCGTAATTGGCATGTCAATTAGCCCCTCTCAAAGTTTCAGCGAAATCCATGATTTTAGCTTCTTATGTGTACCCAACGTAAACCCAGAAAATGGCGCTATATCGCGCGAAATGACTACGATATTCGTCATCAGCGGCTTCAATAATCCCCATGTACCGACTTTGAGCATCCATCACAAAAACATTTTGAGGCCGGATAGCCGAATAGTGCCATCGGTTTTCAGAATTATCCTCACTTTTACCGGTTTTCTTGCTTTTTCTGCAAAGTTTGAGCTAGGGGCTGGGGGTTGTTGAGGGAGGTAGGTGGGAATGCTAATTACTAACACAGCGGGAATAGGGAGTTGCATGTAAAAGTGGGCACAATGAAAGGTTCTACAGGGATACGGATAAAACCTTGATCATAGCATGGACAGGGCCTGGCGGAGCCGGGTAAGTCAGCTAGTATGGGTTATAAAAATGCGCAAGTGACTTGTTCTTGTAAACAATTAAAATAATTTCTAAAATTTATAGAAATTCAAATCAGCTTTGAACATGCCCCCTTTTTCCAGCTCTTAGGAGTAGAGGGCCCGCAGAAATTTTGAGAAGCACCCCAAAAAATTTTTCGGAGTGCGTGGTTAACGCCACGCAACCTTCATTGGAAAAATTTTGCCACGCTGTCCCCTCCCCCCTTCCCCCCCCCCCCATAACGGACGAAAATCCTGGGAATCCGCCACTGCTGGTGTTATCTGCAGTGTCTCTTGCTCTAGTTGATGTAAGAAAATTTTTTCCCTACAAGAGCAGAGCTAGGCCTATCTTGTTTCTCACAGGGCGATCGCTAACCCTGAGTATGGAGCGGGACCGCCTATCGATACAGAATCCAAAGGGATCTGGCCCGTCGGGTTCAGTAGTGTAGTTGAACCATTGCAGGTGTTAGAAAAATTGAGGAATTTTCTGAATCTTCTTGGAAAGGAAAAGGTCCAGAATTTGGGAGAAGTTGGAAAAACAACGGCCCAGAATTTGGGAGAACATTCTCTTGGAAAGAAAGCGGTCCAGAATTTGGAAGGAGGTCTTGGAAAGACGCTCCAGAATGTAAGAGAAGATCTTGGAAAGAAGGGAGAAGATCTTGTTAGAAGTTTTTTTGAGGCGCTCACGTAAGACATGCTAATTGCCCTTTTCTAAATTACGACCTGTTTTCAATTCAAACAAACAAAATCCTTTAGGAGCAAGCACGAAAAAGAAGGAAAAATTGCTTTGGGAGAACATTTTCTTGGAAAGGAAGCGGTCCAGAATTTGGAAGGAGGTCTTGGAAAGAAGGGAGAAGATCTTGTTAGAAGTTTTTTTGAGGCGCTCATGTAAGACATGCTAATTGTTCGTTTCTAAATTATGACCTGTTTTCAATTCAAACAAAAAAATCCTTTAGGAGCAAGCACGAAAAAGCCGGAAAAAGTGCGAACAATACTTTGGAGGAACAGAGCGCAGACAATACGCAGAATGAGACCGACGAAAAGCAAAATAAAGTAAGGACATATTTTTACCTAAATGAAGTCATCTCGAGTCAACGTGTAAAATGCGCAGACCTTGTTGCCTTAGGACGAACAGTTGAAGGCGGTAAAAAGCGCAAAACTTCTCAGTGAAAAATGTTCAGTCACACTTGCTTGTTCCATTCAAAGACAACGTCTCACCAAAATTTGCCAAAATTTTTGCAAATCACAAGCCTTATCCTACCCGTGTGACTCAGTGCGGGTCCAAAATCGCATGAAATGTACGAAAGCCCCTTTTTGAGAGCCCCGTGGAAGCAACGCGGACGAGCTGTGCCTTGTCCTAGCTTTCGCCACTGCGACAAGTGGATCGGATCGGTGTCGTCGGCCATGCGAGCCAAATTGCTCTTTGCGGGCCACATTGAGGACAGATTTCTCCGCGCAGAGAAGCCCGGATCGAGTTTGACTTCGGTCGTCTATCCAAGGAGCCATTGACAAAATATGTGGAGAGCAGCAATTACCTCAATTTTGGTGAGACATTGCCTCTAGGCTCACTCGAGAAATATCACACGCTATACGGAATAACAAACTCCTCGCTAATTAAGCAAAGCAATTCAGAAATAAGCATCAAGTCATATTCTTGGTATAAAGTGGACAATAACGATTGCCTACAGCAATAGCCGCGATGCGCATCTCTACATAGCCCGGATACACGATACCGCTAGTAGCTGAAAAAAAACGGCGGCCGCTCATGTTAGGCGGCAAACCAGGATTTCGCCGAAAAGGGTGCGTATTCTGAAAAAGGTGTTACTCTACAGTCTGCCCCAATTTCACCAGGCCGAAATTGACATGGCGGGAACCCGTTTCGCGAGGGTATTGCGTCATGTCTACGCTAACCAGTCTGCTCTCTCCCCAATTTCTTCGCTCTCCGCGACAGCGCGCGTATGCAGCGCAGACCCCTAGCGTTGCGAGCGCGCAAATTCAGCCGGCGGTTCGGCCTGACCCCGATTGGAGCAGACTGTACTCAGACAGTCGACGGCATACCTCCGGAGCAGAAATGGCCGAGCCGAGTGGCAATTCCCAGCTGGGGATTGCCACTCCTGCTCCGGAGACCTTTCATTTATGCTCCGGAGTCCTCCCATTCTGTGCTCTGGAGACCTCCCATTTGTGCTCCGGAGCCCTGCCATTTTATGCTCCGGAGGTGTCTCAAATCTGGCGCACTCGCGGCGGGCAAATCTCTCGCCGCGGCTCTCCCAAATCTGGCGCACCTCCGGAGCAGAGATGGCGTACCTCCGGAGCAGATCCGGAGAAGGGTCCCACTCGCCTGCCGGTGACGTCACCGTGACCCAAGAAGGGACCGCTCCCTCGCCCCGCTCTCATTGGTCAAATGGGTCCGCCGCGGCTCTGCCAGATTTCGACTCAACGGCGCGACTACGGCACCGATTGTCTGAGTACTCAGTTTGGTGAGGCGCATCTTCCGACATGTAGAGTGCTATGGTCTGCGGGGATACGGTAGGTACGCGGTAAGTAGTTAGTTTTAGCACATACTTTGTTTTATTTAGATGGACTACTTAGTGTGCTGATAACATCCAAGTCAGTTTGGTGCTGGTGACACTTTCTCTGAATACTGTAGGAAAACGAAAAAGCTATTTTGCATCGATCTGTAGAAAAATCTGTCTAGAGCGACTATATGATGCACTGATTGCAATAATTGTGGCCGAGTCATTGGTAACTCCATATGCGGGCCTGCACATTGCGCGCATCAAGCAAGGAAACCTCGTTGCTAACTCGCCAGCAAAACCTCTTCTAAAGGAATAAACTGTAAAAATGTGTACTGGTACTATTACTTGTCCATCAAGCCAAAAAAGGGTGGAAAACAAATAGTAGTCCCAGCAGTTCGACAGCTTTCAATCTTATATGTCGTGAAGTAGCTGTATTGTGTGTTACGCTTGTTGAGTTACAAATGTCTGGACGCAGGGATAGGGTAGGGGAGAGATGTAATGCCAAGTTGCTCGATTTGTCCGAAGTGCTCCTGTGCTCATTTATAAAGAATAGCTTTTGATCATTACTTTTATCAAAAGCCGTCCTGTAAGAGAGCAATCAATGATGTACAGGGTGTCCTTGAAATTGTGCACACTGTTTGATCGTTGGAAACTCGCTTTGATGTCTTTTGTCTATCTTCACGTATGTAGAAGACCGTACCGCTCCGTACCTGGACTTAAGTACGGAGCGGATCTTCGACCTCTCCTCAATACTGTAGAATTACTGTATTTTCAGCATACGAAGACATGGCAAAATAGGCACTTTGATGGAAAACTTCAAAAAATTCTGCGTAGCGGAGTTTTCACATGCTGATTTTGTTAAGCAACTTTTTACAAACTTTGAGTTTTTAGTGGTGCATTCACTTTTGAAAAACATCGGAAGGGAATATTTTACGTTTTTCCTAAATTGACTTATGGAAGAAGCATGACTGTGATATGCAGATTTCATATCTGAAATCAGCTACTCTGATTGGCTCAATATAAAAAGTTTGGCTTACTCGCTCCTGAGGCAAATTGCGATTCATAACGGCTCAAAATCTTCCACAAAGTTCTTACCGTAATCCTACTGTAACGAAGAAGGTTCCAAAATTCCTCTGTGCTGTAAATCTAACAAGAGATATCAACATAGATATCAACGATTGAAGACGTGGTATATATGTCTCTAGACGCTGATTCCAAATCTGCTTTTTTTGCGAAACGATTCTCTTAAGTTATGGGCGTTTGAATATCTAAATTTGTCACGCATCAAGTGACCCAAAATTAGCGAAAAGCAAGCAACATTTATGCGGATTTTCACCGGCTTTGTTCCTTCTTTACATACAATATGCCCTAATTTCACGCGTACAAGGGGCCCTTTTCCGATTCTTTAAACAAGCCGCTCTCCTCTTCGATGTGCTTCAGAAGGCGATCCTTATGCCGCACAATGCTAATCCTATGCTCAGGCAACACGCAGCTGGGTATAGGTCCTCTGCTCTCGAAGTCTTTCGTTGTGTTCGGTTCGGACGATCAAAAAAAAAATCCCGCGCGACTTAAACGCGTAAATTAGGGTATCTACAAAGATGATCTACTTACGAATGTTTATGTGCAGCTTTTCGCTGACTCTGGCACTAAAACTTGATACATGAGAACATTCAAACGCTTAAAAGTTTTTTAGGAAAGTTGTTCCGCAAGATAGGAAAGCAAAATGGAATCAGCGTTCGCTTCTAGTGATATACATCTCGTCTTCAGTCGCCTACTCAAGTTGGTACCCTTCCCTTATAAGTTTAACCCAATTACAAAATGGTGCTCAAAGACTAACTGATATAGTAAAACATTTTTTGTGTAAATTTTCGTGGTGGTGTAGCGGAGCGCATATTCATATGGAAAAATCAGTATTTCTCGGAGAGTTGCGTCCATATATCATCCACGGCAAAAGATTATCTGCGAGCTCTTCTACAAGGAGAATAACTGGTGGATTTTGGAGATTTGCGATGTCCACGAAAAAATTTACCACAAGTTTATAAGCAGCATCTCATCTCAAGCTATGACATCAACACTTCGATTGATATGACATTAAATCGATACAAAAGTTCTGTCAATTTTTCAAAGGTCCAATCGCAATTAAGGTAGAAAAGATAACAGGTAATTCAAGACGTGTCCGATGCAGAATTTCTTCTTCTTTTCAGGTGCTATATTCACAAATTAGTGGAGAAGATGCTGTGATAGTTGCTGGAGAACACAACCCTCGGCTATCATCGTGTCTGATTTTCGCTAATTTTCAGGGTCGGTAGGTCGAAACTCCGAGTTTAAAGCTCCGCGTTAACTCAGAGATAACTCTGAGTTACGTTTTTGAAACTCTGAGTTATGCTTATTCAAACTCTGAGTTCCGCTTTCAAAGTTCCGAGTTCCAGCTCTCAAGCTCGGAGTTTTGTTGTGAGAAGCTGTTACTCACTTTGCTGCAAAAGCGATGTTAATGATGGTACTCGAACCTGTATGGTCTAGCGCAGAGATCCTATCACTAAACCACTAGGCCATGGCACACACATGAAGCTTAGAGTTGCTATGCCATAATATACTCATTGCATTCATACATAGCATGTCAAAACAAGTTATACCAAAGCCTCATTCATTTTCATTTTTACCGAGAAGTGCTGGTTTATCGCACGGATTGGCCTTTTGCGCAGCTCAAAACTTCAAGCAATAGAGAGAGCGGATGGCATATGCAATGGTAAGAGTGGACTTTAGGGTCTGCGCATAGATCAAGCCCTCCGCGCAAAACTTGCCCTGATTATATGATTTGGCCCACTTACAGTATACCTATCGTAATCGCTCAAAATGACACCAGTGTATGGCATGCACCCCGATGTGATCAGCGCCCCGAATAACTCCAACGGTGTTTTCGATCAGTTTCGTGGTTTTCTCAATTCTACCGTATAGCTACCGTAACACCGCTATATGGACCCGCAGCCATAAATGCATGCCAAATTTGTGACCAGCGCCTCGAATAACCCCAGTGTACCAAGTTTCGATCAGTTTCGTGGTTTCCCCCCAGTTACCGTAAACCCACCGTAAGCTTGCCAGATGTCACCGCCGTACAAAATGAATACCATATTCGTGATCAGCGTGCCCAATAACCCCACCGGTCCAAGTTTCGGCCAATTTTGTGATTTTCTCCTGTCTACCGTAAACCTACCGTAACCCGACTTTATGACTCCAATATGAAAAATGAGTACTATATTTGTGATCAGCGCACCGAATAACCCCCTGGGCCAAGGTTTCACAAAATTTCAAAATTTTGCAGATAACGGCGCACCACGATACCCCCATCATGCCTGCTGAAACTACGAGCAAAATGTACTCCGGAGGACTTTTTAGCTGCCCCTCTTCTTTTGTGCACTATTTCTGTTTCTCTAACCAAACTCAGAGTTATCTCTGAGTTTCACGATAGGCTGGAACTCGCACCAAACTCAGAGTTATCGCAGAGCTCAACTGCGCGTTTGGTGGCGCCGTTTCATGTGCAGAATGATTTGGACAATCTTGGGCTACCAAGATAAACTATTGGTCACGGAATATCCTGCTATATCATCATTTCCCAGATTTGGTCTCTTCAAGCACCTGTTACGGGGCTCAAAAAGGTGTGTGTTACCACAGAGAAAACTCAGAGTTAACTCTGAGTTATAACTCTGAGTTTCGACAGGTTTACTACCGACCCAGAATTTATATCTGACAATTCTGAGGAAGCTTTGATAGCGAGCAGACAGGGCAGTGTTAATTGCAGCAATTTTTTAGTTCTATGGAATCTTTTTCTAAGCAACCTAATTTTCGGCCTATTTTGAAATCGTAGGACGTAAAGTGGTAAATAGTCGAGAACTATATCGATGCAACTTTTTTCTTTCTGACAATTTTTTCTTGGCAAGACACGCGTTCAATCACGAGTGCGAATTACCAAAATCTCAAAATGTCTTTTTGAAGCAAAAATCGCGCATAACTCTGTAAGGTTAGTACCATAAGTAATCGAGTTTTGAAAATTAGTGTTTTGAAAATTCAATAATTCCTGATCGGGAAGTTCGAAATGTTTGTTTATCTTTACTGTACGGTGTTTGCGGATTTCAAGAAACTAGCAGAACTTTTGCACCTACTCAATATTTTCAAAGGCACCGTCCATCCAGATTCTTAACTTTCATGTTTTGGTTCCGGGGCCTTCTCATGTCCCTTATTCCGAATATAAAGTCAACAATCCGCAAAAACTCCGACAATCCCGTTCCAGAGAACCACAGTCCCGTCCTCCGGAACGGTGATTGAATGGGCGGACAGTGCTCAGGGTTTTTATAAATTACAGCCTTCATATCTCGTGAATCCATTTTTTTGCTAAACGGACCTATGAACGTTTCGATTTTGCAGCTAAGATTTTATCCCACAGTCGTATATCATCGGATGTCCCAAGTGGTAGATGAACACAGTGCTTTGGTACTGGGTCGATTTTATGAAGCTGAGAAAGCTATATACACCATCTATGTAACCGGGCTGGGGCGTTGCTACGAAGGCTGTGGGTGATAGTAGTTTTTGCTGCTGACGACTCTGTAGCATTGTGCAACCAGCCCCGACAGGATGGCTTGAATGGTCTTCTTTAACTGCGCTGACATAAGAGTCTGGGCCATCTTACTGCACCTGGATGCACTCAGTCACATCATGGCCAGATGAGCGGGAACATCAGTATAGGACTTCTATATTATTGGGATCCGGCCCCTGTGAATGCATACAGCGTTCTCCTTCTCGACTTTTATTAACAAAAGTGCGCAGGTAGTAATTTTTCCACTTGATGTAATATATGCGGTGCTTTTGCCGGTTTAAACTTACGCTGGACAGCCACGACCGCAATTGCGGGCGCAAGGCCAACATCACGAGCGTAGTTATTTGTTCATGCGCAAAATTTACATTTCGACACCGCAAGCACACTTATACCAGGCTTTTTAATAGACTGTATAAAAGTTCAGTTTGGCTAAACTTTTTAGTTCTTCAAAGCTCTATCAACTTACAGAAATCATCACAACCATTGCGAGAAACAACGGTGAAGAAACGACAGGAAGCAGGTAGAGTAAAAGGAAGCTTAGCGCAGCAATTTACAGAGTGAGACATGTTTATGTTATATTTCATTCAAACGATTTATTCTACTGAGCAATATTGATTGAAGAGAAGCTGTGAGGACCGAAAGCCGTGCATCCGAAGAGCGTGACGCAGCTGCTACATTGAGAAAGGGAAAAAGCTCTGAGGAGTCTGCATCGCGACTCCGTCAGGAGAGTGGAGAAGATAAGCATGAAGTGAGACAATCTTTTATGCCCCCTGGAGGCTAGTGAGACAATCTTTTATGCCCCCTGGAGGCTATCTATAAAAAATAAAGGAAAAGAACTCTTTTTACTTTTCAGTCTATTATTAACACATTGACGACCGCTTGACAAATGACTACCGCGTGGGACCGCTTGACACACCATGTGTGTCAAGGCTTGAATTTTGGAAAAATGACTACTATCGTGGAATAAACTAACTCCGTGAGCTTTCTTTTGCACAGTGTCTAGAGATGACATCTACCTTTTTGTCAGCCTTTCGGATCTACTGTAGGTTTACTGTAGATGGCAGTATGCGTAATTATAGCTGAAAAAGTGGGCTGGTCCGTAAAAAGGCCTTGGTCCCCAAAAGCAGACAACTGAAAATCTGCATGGTCGTCAATGTGTTAACAAATAAAGCAATACCTTCGTACAAAAAGTCATAAAACTACTTCATTTACATCATCTTGCCCTCAGCCCGTTACAGGCCGATGTTTCCTGAGCTTAACATATTTCGCGGCAATACAGGGTGTCCCAGAAAATGTATCGAACGTTTGATCGTTAATATATCTCTTCCCAAGAAGTCTTTTGCCTTGGTCAGGTACCGTTTTGTAGAGCTGGCTTCAACTTAGATTTGCATTGTAGAACGAGTCACCCATCTGTCTTCATTACTGTAGGATTACGGTAGGAACTTGAAACGTATGGTGTCATTGTGGAAAAAGCTTCCGTTCTAAAAATTTTTAAAAAAGTGTGAAAACTTGTGTGTTGGGGTTTTTGTGGAGCTGAGTTCAACACTCAACTATTCACAAGATTACGAAGCTTTTTAAACGGTGTAACCTCACTTTTTAGGAACATTGAAAGAATGGCCGCTACCTCTTACCTAACATAATTCTTCAATGAAGCATCATAGTAAATTGGGAACTTTACAGTTATAATCAGCAACTCCAATTAGCTTAGTGTAAAAGTTTTCAGGCTGTTTTGTTTCCTTTCTGGGACAAAATATGGCCTTTCATTGCTTGAAACCCTCTTTGAAGTTTCTACCGTAATCTTATAGTAATGAAGAGAGATGAGTGATTCGTTCTATAATGCTAATCTATGTTGAAGCCAGCTCTACAGATTGGTACCTGAAGCAATGGAAAAAACTTCTCTTGAAGAGAGATATTAACGATCAAACGTTCGATACATTTTGTGGGACACCCTGTACTAGTAGATACTTAATGACATGATTCCGTCTTTCAGACTTCTTGTACGCTGTAAGGCATCTGTCTGTTATGTAATAGAGCTGAAAAGTATTCACGATCGCTATTCATTTTATAGTGATTGCTTTTCTTCTACTCTCTTGAAGTCATGATCGTTCACGGCCCGTGACAAATTTCGAGTAGAATTCGCTTTTAGCAAAAGTTCTGAGACTTTTGGGTTGGGCTAGACTGCGGCGTACGCGACGTACGCAGCGTACGCCGCATATGCTCCTATGATGAAATATACCGAGCGTACGCTGCGTACGCCGCTACGCCGCTTCCCCGCGAAGTCTGGCTCAACCCTTTACTTGCACATATTCCCCGTACATACCGTTGAAGCCTACTTCCTATGAAATTTAAATTAAGTTTGTATTATGGCCACTCGCGAGCATCAGCCTCGCACAGTGCTTGGCACCAACTGGAACCAGCGCTCGCGCTTGGGAGACATCGGCTGCATCAGAATGTTTTCAAAAGTACGATCCTAATAGAGAGGATCCTAGATCCCAATAGTCTCCCGCCTTTGTTCTTTTTAGACTGGCATCTCTATACATACCTGAATCCAAACAATTTCAAAAGCATTTCGGAATTTTGATTGTAGAGTAAAACCATGTTTAACACGTTTCGGACCGGTGCTGCACATGGTGCAGCACGCTCCTTTCAAGGATCTTTTCAATCTTTGCAGGAGGTTTTCTTTTTGTCCAAGATTATCAAATCAAAGGCCTAAGCTCCTCCTTTTCAAATGAGTCTGTAGAGTTGTGCCGCCGCTATTTGTTTAGGAGATATGAGCACAAATCGAACAACAGTTGCAACGAAGTGTGCAACGCGAACGACGCGTGTGACGTCGCAACCTTTCTTTGCTCCGATATCAAAGAGAAAAACCGTGGTTTCAGTAATGATGCGTACTGTGTACAACATAGATACTTTTCGATAGTATTAGAAATTGGGTTGTTGTTCCTATCTTTCAAGAAAGCCAAAAGTCCTTGTGGTGCGGCAAAATTCAAACACTTTGAATTCACTCAGAACTTTGAGTATGAATCTTATCTGACATACTGATTACAAATGTAGCACACAGTCTACGTATCAAGGTCCCTTTGTTGGCAAACGGCTGAAAGTACCCTCTTTTTCGCCGCGCGCTATTTCGCGGTCCGAAACGTATTAATGTGGCTGTGTTGCTTTATAAGTCTTCGACCCATTTTCAGTAAATCAGTCGATGCTGCACTTTCTCGAACCCTACTTGTAAAAAGTATATATTTTCATCGCAAACATTGGTGAACACTACGTTTGGCATAAATTCAACAAGAGTAATGAAAGTTATGAGAAATTTTTTCAATAATTCAACTGGCAACCTCTAGATGCCGTTCAGTGCGGCCTGGAAGACGAGTTGCTCACAAAGCACAGCCCACGATAAACTTCTGCGTACACAAATGTAGGGCATTTTGAAAGGAACACAGTATGGAGAATTATGAAATACCTAGACGAAAGACGCGAAAAGTTCTTTCCGGAAGTACGGTAACATACACAATCCCAACTCTCGAAAGTGGCATCTCTCCGTCATAATTTTTTACAACAATCGAAAGCTAATCTTGATCCAATGTTTAGTTTATGTTGGCTACCTTTTTTGGAGCTCTAATCTCCACTGAAAGTCTTCTTACCCAAAAATTTTGCATGTATTATATATCGCAGATGATTACCCAGAATAGCTGCTTTTGCAAAGGGCAGCACAAAACGCCCTTTGAATCCATTCAGCTGCAGAGCAAGAATTTGAGTAGAAAAATCATGTTTTCCCGAAAAACCATAGGTACGCTGCCCAGTGTTCGCCGGTAACTTTGATTCTTGTACGTTAGACTTCACGAACTTTAAAAGTGCCCAGCCCAGAATCTTAGTATACCTTATCAAAATATATCATTCTTCTAAAGTTTTTGTAAATTACCATTACAGGTGACTGCCTCACCAACTACAACGGCAAGAGAACGCTAAGAAGTACTGCGAAAATTCTATGAATGCGTGTAGTACAATTCCACATTGTGCAGATCTCTGTTGCAGTCTTTTCCCTATAAGCACTGTTTGAGCTTAAATAAATGTGCACCCCCGTCAGAGCTATTGTTTCTACTCCGATTTTATGCAGTTTTCTGCTTGAATCTTCAAAAGTTCATGTCCTCCAATTCACCGAGGCTTTGCCCTTAGGCCAAGTAAAGTGATGTTTCATAAACGTATGTCAGCTGAGTCCAGTGCTGCCGCGTGTGCTGCTATAGCTATGTCGTAATCTCGTGATTTTGAGTTTGGTTGTAAAAACGCTAGTGTGCCACTAGAATCTCTTAAAATCTATACATACAGTTGCAGCGGTGGAATTTGTCCAAAACTGCGGGATTGTCGGGATTCGCGGGGTTGTCGGGATTCGCGGGATTGTCGGGATTCGCGGGATTCGCGGGATTCGCGACTTCGCGGGATTTGCGGGATAAGCGGGATTTAGCTATAACTTCTTTTAAAATAGCTTTATTTGTAATCTGAGTGAAGATTTGGCTTCAGCTTGATGAGACGAATCTTTTGATACACGGTATGTCCGTAGTTCATAGTGACGGGGTAGACATACAATGATACCTTGTTGTTTTCTACGTTAAGGCTTTTGTGAACATTTATCACAGTGTAAATCGCGTATAGGAGGTTCTGGTACGAAGCTCTCGTTATCGAAAACTACCGCGAAAAATTGGGCAGTCTTTATCTACCCTTATCGCTGATATAAGCATTTTATCATTTATCACTGATAATAACACATTTTTGGATCATTTTTTGCATAGGGTAAAGAAAGTACTGTAGGAAAAGCTGTGTGAATTTCTATCGCTCTTTCTCTCATTATAAGTGATCTACAGGCTTTTCTAGTTCTATTGCTCGGTGCAATTGGTAGATCCCTCGCTGCAGCAATCGATCGATTTTTCATCGGCACATGCCATTGCTGCCAATTCTTACCTAGAATGGCATTTTTGCTTCAACTCGCTTCACGCCGAAGCCTGGGCTGAAATTCTGACCTATATGGAAGATGAACGTGGAAATCGACCGCATAAATTTAAGCCATTCTTATCCGTCGTTGTCATTGATATCATCATTTTATCATTTATCACTCACGACACAAAATTGGATCATTTTTGATATATAATAAGAAATGTACTTTAGAAAACGCTGTTTGAGTTTTTATCGCTCCATCTCTTATAGTACAAAACCACTCACAGAACATGCAAAATTTCCGGGAATTCCTCGAAATTCATGTGAATCACGCAAATTACGCAGGGCCATAACTTCTTTCCGAATGAGTATATTCAAAATCCGAAAACAACGTTGTATTCAGCTCGTCAAGGCGAATCTTTTGATATACAGGCTGTCCCCAAGATCTTGTTTTAATAATCTTGAATTTGCATGCCGACGCCTCTTCGCATGGGTGTAACGCAACAAGCATCACACATAGGAGACTGACATGGGCACCTTTCGATAGTACTCTTTCACTAGATTATCGTGCGCTAAACAGCAGCCGAAGACTCTTGCAAAAGAGATAGAAGAGCTGATAAACTCTGGAAAAAGTAAGCTGTTCCAAGTTTTACTAGCCGTAACTTTCTTTAGAATGAACATTTTCGAAATCAGAAAGCAGATTTGTGTTCATCTTGTCAAGTCGAATCTTACTGTATACAGCATGTTCTTGATGTTCCGTTTTCAATTTTTTCAAAATTTTCTGCGCGCGTATATTCACAAGGTCGCAACGCAGCGCACATCAAACATAAAAGACTCTATTAAGCACTGTTGGATTGTGCTGCTTCCGCAGATTATCAAGCGCTAAGAAGCAACCGGAGAATCTTTTTGAGAAAAGATAGAAGAGCTGGTGAATTCTGGAAAATCGTGTTGTCTCAAGTTTTGCCCACAGTGACCCTAAAATGAGAAGCTCTACTGCTAAGCAGATGTAATTTTCGTAATCAGCAGGTCAGATAACCTCTATGAGCAAGTTTTCAAAGAAATTTGGGTGATTTGGTTTTTTCTCGTTCTACGCCCTGAAGCTCGCCGATGGGTTTTGGTCAAAATGTCGATGACCTTGGATTGTAAAGAAACTTCGCCCAAAGAGATTTTCGAACACGCTGTTTACGAAAATAGTGGTCTTTGAAGAAGACAGGGTCTTTTTGTAGAGATATTGTGAGGTGACTGTGACTGAGTCACGAAAGTTCGTAAATTTGCCTGCACTTTTCGCGAATTTGTCGGAAAACTTGCCTGCTTGCTTTTCCAAGTCAAAGTTAGTAGGGACTGTGCCATCGAATGGTGCATGCCTCAGACTCCACTCTACAGAAATCGCCGAGTTACAAGCCTACGAAAACACGTCCTCATGAATTTCGCTCAAAATGTAAAAATCGCGTATTTCGTCGAAATTCCACCCTCAGTGGTTGTGTGACATTCTGATCAAATCTGTTCACATTGGTTAATGGTCCTAATGTGCTGGATTTGGAAATTAGGTAGATCTGAGCTCAAGCTACGAAGGTGCTTTGATATTCAAATGAGTAGCTGAAGAACGCGCGACCACCAAATTCAATTCAATGGGATCTCTTAGGCGAAGTGAGCATATGCAATCAGAATGTCACACAACCACTGAGGGTGGAATTTCGACGAAATACGCGATTTTTATATTTTGAGCGAAATTCATGAGGACGTGTTTTCGTAGACTTACTCGGCGATTTCTGTAGAGTGGAGTCTAAGCAGTGGTATCAACGCAGAGTACTAGTCCCTACTAACTTTGACTTAGAAAAGCAAGCAGGCAAGTTTTCCGACAAATTTGCGAAAAGTGCAGGCAAATTTACGAACTTTCGTGACTCAGTCGCAGTCACCTCACAATATCTTTACAAAAAGACCCTGTCTTCTTCAAAGACCACTATTTTCGTAAACATCGTATTCGAAAACCTCTTTAAAGCGAAGTTTCTTACAATCCAAGGTCATCGACATTTTGACCAAAACCCATCGGCGAGCTTCAGGGCGTAGAACGAGAAAAAACCAAATCACCCCAAATTTCTTTGAAAACTTGCTCATAGAGGTTATCCGACCTGCTGATTACGAAAATTACATCTGCTTAGCAGTAGAGCTTCTCATTTTAGGGTCACTGTGGGCAAAACTTGAGACAACACGATTTTCCAGAATTCACCAGCTCTTCTATCTTTTCTCAAAAAGATTCTCCGGTTGCTTCTTAGCGCTTGATAATCTGCGGAAGCAGCACAATCCAACAGTGCTTAATAGAGTCTTTTATGTTTGATGTGCGCTGCGTTGCGACCTTGTGAATATACGCGCGCAGAAAATTTTGAAAAAATTGAAAACGGAACATCAAGAACATGCTGTATACAGTAAGATTCGACTTGACAAGATGAACACAAATCTGCTTTCTGATTCGAAAATGTTCATTCTAAAGAAAGTTACGGCTAGTAAAACTTGGAACAGCTTACTTTTTCCAGAGTTTATCAGCTCTTCTATCTCTTTTGCAAGAGTCTTCGGCTGCTGTTTAGCGCACGATAATCTAGTGAAAGAGTACTATCGAAAGGTGCCCATGTCAGTCTCCTATGTGTGATGCTTGTTGCGTTACACCCATGCGAAGAGGCGTCGGCATGCAAATTCAAGATTATTAAAACAAGATCTTGGGGACAGCCTGTATATCAAAAGATTCGCCTTGACGAGCTGAATACAACGTTGTTTTCGGATTTTGAATATACTCATTCGGAAAGAAGTTATGGCCCTGCGTAATTTGCGTGATTCACATGAATTTCGAGGAATTCCCGGAAATTTTGCATGTTCTGTGAGTGGTTTTGTACTATAAGAGATGGAGCGATAAAAACTCAAACAGCGTTTTCTAAAGTACATTTCTTATTATATATCAAAAATGATCCAATTTTGTGTCGTGAGTGATAAATGATAAAATGATGATATCAATGACAACGACGGATAAGAATGGCTTAAATTTATGCGGTCGATTTCCACGTTCATCTTCCATATAGGTCAGAATTTCAGCCCAGGCTTCGGCGTGAAGCGAGTTGAAGCAAAAATGCCATTCTAGGTAAGAATTGGCAGCAATGGCATGTGCCGATGAAAAATCGATCGATTGCTGCAGCGAGGGATCTACCAATTGCACCGAGCAATAGAACTAGAAAAGCCTGTAGATCACTTATAATGAGAGAAAGAGCGATAGAAATTCACACAGCTTTTCCTACAGTACTTTCTTTACCCTATGCAAAAAATGATCCAAAAATGTGTTATTATCAGTGATAAATGATAAAATGTTTATAACAGTGATAAGGGTAGATAAAAACTGTCCAATTTTTCGCGATAGTTTTCGATAACGGGAGCTTCGACTGCTCTACCAGCTAGAACCTCCTATACGCGATTTACACTGTGATAAATGTTCACAAAAGCCTTAACGTAGAAAACAACAAGGTATCATTGTATGTCTACCCCGTCACTATGAACTACGGACATACCGTGTATCAAAAGATTCGTCTCATCAAGCTGAAGCCAAATCTTCACTCAGATTACAAATAAAGCTATTTTAAAAGAAGTTATAGCTAAATCCCGCTTATCTCGCAAATCCCGCGAAGTCGCGAATCCCGCGAATCCCGCGAATCCCGACAATCCCGCGAATCCCGACAATCCCGCAGTTTTGGACAAATTCCACCGCTGCAACTGTAGCAGTAGTCCAGTGCATTGCTATGACAGGCCGTTGTCCAAAAGTCGACGGACGACTTCTTAACTCTGTGCTGTCAATGCTTTTGTTGCATTTAAGTACATGGAAAGTCCTAAAATTATGTATGCACTATTTGATCGCTGATATTTCTCTATTCATAAAGTCCTTCATAGACATTTAGGCAACGCTGTCTCAGACAGTCGACGGCATACCTCCGGAGCAGAATTGGCAGAGCCGTGGGGTTTCCTCAGCGGGGGATTGCCACTCGTGCTCCGTAGCCCTCCCATTT